TTGGTCTTACGTTAGGACTCACCATGTTCTGACTGAGCTTACATAGTTGCGGTCAGAAATGTCTCAAAATAGATTTCACTAATACATTACAGATGGGGGGGCTACTATTCATGTCTGTCTGCTTCTGGACTGGATTTAGATCTGGAGTTTACATTGACACAAGAATTTTAGCTTCAATTGATTTCTTTGGATATGCAGCCAAAGAGTTTGCACCATAACAGGCCGTCCAGTGGTGGTAACACCAACAAGGCTCCTCGGCCCTTTCTCTCCAGGCAGCCACTCCCTCCCTTCTTTCCTCATCCTTTTCATCTTTTTTTTTCCGTCTACTTCCAGTCGTTAGCATTGGAGAGGTTGGCATCACACTGGGGAGCATCTGGAATGGAACTCTTGGAGAAGTGGTGGCTTGGCCTGGCCTGGCCTGGCCTGGGGGAGAAGCCAGGGATTCCTGGTTGTGGTGTGCGGGGAGTGGGGAATCCAGGTATTGGTGAGGGGCTGTGACAATGGCAGCTCCTAACTATGTTAGGTCTGGAACCACAGCCTCCTGATTTTCTAGGCCCAGAGCCTGGGGGCTCCTGGCTGTGGTAGGCCCAGAGCCTGGAGGCTCCTGTTTGTGTTAGGCACAGAGTAATAATAAAAGATGAGAAAAGAAAGGAATATTTATTAAGTAAATAAAAAGAATGATAAAAGAAAAAAACAATAAGCTTCATACCCTTCTGCACATCAGGGACCCCTCGATTGATGTCTGGTCTGAAGGTTGATGTTGTTACAGGCACAGTTCACAATCCCAGTCCGAGATGAGGTTCAGCGGCTTAGATCAAAACTCTATCTCTTATACAGTATAACAAACAGCCAGTACACAGAACATCAGATACAGAAGATAAAACTGCTGGCTAGTACAGAAAGCACAGTTACAGAAAAACAAGCTGCAGGTGTCATCTTCAGCCCATAAAGGAATATTCACAGGACTCATTCAGGGTCATACAGCTTGTCGAGTATCATCATTAACTTTCCCAGCCTATTTTTCCATTCTATTCAATCTGTTTCCTCACGTAGCTGTCAAATATCATCATTAACTTTTAGCCCTTCAGCCAATCTTATACATTCCATCCCTAATGATATTTGACAGCGCATGTTACAATTGCAAATGCAGACTCGATTCAGAGATAGCTGCACAAGAATGTATAATAAGAGTATATAACCTACACCAAAAAATTAAAATGATAATGAAAATAATTATCATCAATGTGAATAAAATAACAATAAGGTGTATAATTAAATTAATGATCGCAGTGGCGCTTCGGGACTGACCCTTAAATATATATCCCACATCTAATGTACAGTCAAGGCTGTGATGAAACCAGCAAGTCATGCCACCTGATTGAGGTGACCAGAATATCGCCTACATTTTTTTTTAGTTAATCTATTTACATAATTTGCTCTAAAATTCAGTATATTCCAGATTCAGATTTGTTAATTTGTGTTTTTTTTTAAATCCTCCAGTTCCCTAGCCACAGATCACCTCAACCAATAACAGTAAAATAACACTATACATGGACTCAAAATTTCTCCAGCTCTCTTCATGCATATCCATCTTGAGGATACTTCTTCAGTATGTTTCCCTCCTTGCCAATTTTATGAATTATTGTATCATTGATTGGTACAACCTTCAAATACAGGTACCCCCTTTTGAGCTACAATATACATGGCATCAAACAATGCAGCTCTAACATTCACCAGGCTTTACCTTCAACTTATGCATCCCGCCTATTATTTTTCCCAGGATTCCATTACCATAGACTCCCACAACACCTGAATCTTAGCTCAATCTTCTTTAACATACACTAACTGTCCTAACACATTACAGTTTCATCCACTGGATTCAACATTGGGGTAAATGTATCATACACATATTCAAGTTGGGGTATTTGTATGTCATCCAATGGGCCCTTTCACTCAGTCCATCATTTCTCCTCCCAGAGACAATATTCTTTCATTCCAGTAACATTTTGACATAATAACCAATCACACTTTTTATTTTGATTGTATTTCTTTTTACATTCCTTTCACTACTACTACTTTCATTGTTTTAAAGTCAGTTTCCCTATGGATTTTGAGCCAGCGTCTGGTTGTTTAAACTATGTTTTTGCGATCTTCCAAGCCACACTGATCCTTTTGTCAAATAGTTGTACAGTCTGAGACCTGTTCTTCAGTGCATGTTTTTTACGGTCTTATATTTGTTGCCTCCAAGGTAACATTCAGTTTTGCACACATACGTCAGTATCCCAAGACCATGTCATGCACTCTTGACTCCCACATGATCTTATCAAATGATCTATGAGGTTTTACTTATCTCTCCACGTATGGTCCGATGCCGCGGGTAGTGGCTTGATCACCAATTTAATTCTTTTTAAAGGAAAGACAAGGAAACAAACATCACCAAGAGAAATTGCCGCTTCAACTATCATTCTAATTTTTTTTGTCTTCTGCCACCAGTCTCCACCCTTAATTAAAAGCTGAAAGAACTGCAGTTGCTGTAAATCAGAAACAATTCTTAGGAAGGGTCACCGGACCTGAAACGTTAACTCTGATCTTTTTTCTTCACAGATGCTGCCAGACCTGCTGAGCTTTTCCGGCAACTTTTTTTTCCACCCTTAATTACTTTGTATCATTCAATTTTGCAACATAGCTGTTAACCACCATATCTAATTCCAGAGTCCATGGAAGATAACCTTATGATATTTTAAAACAGAAGTCAAACATTTCTGTTTGATTCAGGCCCAATGTACCTTGTTTGTTCTTTCTCTAAGATGACACATCTTTTTTTAAAGTTACTTGATAACTTATTCTAGATATTTGATATATTTCAATGTAAATTTGTCCAAATTCAATATTCTGTTTTCTCCCATAAAGTTACTAACCATTTTTGTGTACATTGAAACCACTGAGAACTGTATGCATGCACTTTATCATTTCATAATCCCTTTAAATTTTCAGGTAACTATCCAATTTAAATGTTTTAGAATACCAGGTCATGTGAGTCTTAATATTGTTTTTGTCATAATATGCTTAAGCGTACCCAGGGTCAGTGGTTTCGAGATTCCTGACACTCACAATTAATATTTCCACAGTACTTTCCCAACACTGAAATGTGTCATTGATGAATGGTTGATTGGTTGAGGGTGCCTAATCCATCACTGTATTGTAACGTTGAAATTCTGCAAATAGGTTCAGCCTTCAGTATCTTCAATTTCTAAAAAAAAAATCTCCAACCATTCCACATCAGGCAGAATGGGTTAATTAGTATCAGTAATTAATTAGTATTAATCTACTACAGATTCAAAAGACGGGAATGAGTCATAAACTCCTGCATATAATTATATCATCCATCTCTCCTCCTCCTCGAATGAAATAAAAGCCCACCCCTTTGTACATTTGCCTTTCTGAAACTCCTCACCCATAGAAAGTTGCATTTTCAACATTCCAATGTCCCTATCACTTGGATATTAACAATGAGTCAATCTTATCATCCAGAATTAAAGATTCACTCATGTTAAAACAATATTTGGAAGTTCAATCTGACTGGAAAATGAAATTCCAAGCATGGTAATTTCTGGAATTAAAATTTACCCTGTCCAAACACAACACAGATCCAATTCTGAAAGATAAATTTTTACCAAACTTTACAAACCACATTTTTGAATTAACATTTCGCAGATTTTTTTGCTTTACCTCACTGATATTACATTAACCATACATGACCCACCTGGATACAGGCAGACTACACACTTTCAAATTACCATACATTCCCGTAATGTAAATTAAAACTTCAAATATCCCCAGATCTCGAGTTCCAAGGAACAAAAAGATACAAATTGTACAGGATGACATTTAGCAACCAACACACAAAGGTGTATTCAAACCAAACCACAAAGAGTTAGCACTCCTACAATGTTCAGTGCTCTTGCACAGTACAGAAACCTGGCCTCTCGTTCTCTCTTTTTCCAGTTATAACTGCCCCCATCTTTTTTGGGGGTCTGAACTGTGCTAACATTTTGACTACAGACCTGAATCCAGAGTCTGCCTCATTCAACCCTGGAATACAGAAGGTCGCCAGACCATCAGGTTGCTTTTCCCTACTCTTACACATTTTCCCGAATTGCATCCTCTCCGCCAAAAATTTCTTGGATCACAGAATGTATCCAACGGTTCTTTTCGGATTCGGTTAAACACGATTAAGAGAAGGCTTGGCAACAGAAATTTGCTTAAATATGAACATTTGTTGAGTAATAATAAAGGATGAAAGAAGAAAAGTACATTTGCTAAGTAAATAAAAACAATGAAAAAGAGAGGAGCAAAACAATAAGCTTCACACCCTTCTGCCCATCGGGAATGCCTTGATTGACGGCTGGTCTGGGAGTTGATGTTGTTCCTGGCGCAGTTCGTGATCACAGTCCAAGGTGAAGTCCAGTGACTTAGATTGAAACTCTATCTCTCTTATACAGTATAACAAACAACCAGCACAGGGAACATCAGATACAACGGCCAAAACTGCTGGTGAGTACAGAAAAGCAAGCTGCAGATGTCATCTTTGGCCTGTAAAGGAATTTTCACAGGATCCTTTCAGGGTCATGCAGCTTGTCGAGTATCATCATTACCTTTCCCAGCCTATTTTCCCATTCTATACAATCTATTTTCTCAAGCAGCTGTTGAATATCATCATTAACTTTTAGCCCTTTAGCCCATCTTATACAGAGGTAATTAGGAATGGGCAATAAATGCTGGTCTAGCCAGTAATGCCCACATCCCATGAATGAATGAAAAAAACAGACTTGTCAAGACAAGGGAGATATATGTCATGCTCAATATCCATTGTAAGCTCACTGTGGCAAAGTTAGTCCATGAGGTTAATAGTGTGTTAACTTCGGTATAACTGTCACTGAGGTCGATCAACGGTTATTGGGGCTGACAGAATTCTGATGAGGGAAATTATTTTGTCGCTCTCACTTCTCCTCTTGAGCCTTAATGAACAAGCCAAGTGCATCATACCCAGTCAGACTGGGCAGCGTCTCTTTGATAACACTGGACAAATCAGCATTGCCCTCTGGTTCCTCAAGTGTTAGCTCGGACTAGAGAATAGAACAGTGCTGGTGCTGGTGCTGATCAGTGACTTGGGGTTGGAAGCTAAAATTCAGTGCCCTGGATAGTGTAACCTTTCATTATCCACATTAATTCAACTTTAAGTTGTCTCTACGATGGGGACAGGAGAGCTACTGGCTGACACTTCAAGACGTTTTCACCCAGCGCTAAGGGAAATAAATAAACCTTGACTGTAATAAACCATCGATTGCAACAAAATACTACGGATACTGGATGTCTGAAAGAGGTACAGAGAATGCCAGAGAAATTCAGTAGGCCTGGAAAATCCTCCAGGTGCCCTGGTTTCCTTCCACAGCCCAATGATGTACAGGTTAGGTGGATTGGCTGTGTTAAATTTCCCATAGTGTCTAGGATGGGAACTGCAGGGATAGGGCAGGGGGTGAAGTAGTTAGAGCCATACAGCACAGAAGCAGACCCTTCAGCCCAACTTGTCCATGCTGACCAGATTTCCTGAACTGAATCAGTCCCATCCACCTCTATGTGGACCATATCCCTTCAGACCTTACCTGTCCAAATGTCTTTTAAATGTTTTAACTGCACCTGCCTCTACCACTTCTTCTGGCACATTGTTCCATATACACTCCACCCACTGTGTGAAAAAGTTGCCCCTCAGGTCCCTTTTAAATCATTCTCTCTCTCCTCTAGTTTTGGACTCCCTGATCCTGGGGAAAAACCTTTGCCATTCACCTTATCTATGCCCCTCAGCCTCCTACACTCCAGGGAAAAAAGTCCCAGCCTATCCAACCTCTCCTTATAGCTCAAACCTTCCAGTTTTGGTATCATCCTTGTAAATCTATTTTGCACTCTTTCCAGTTTAATAGCATCTTTCCTACAGCAGAACAACCAGAATTGTACACAGAACTCCTAAAGTGGCCTTAGAGTTCTGAAGAAGAGTCAGACCAGACTTGAAGCATTAACTCTGTTTCTCTCTTCACAGATGCTCCAGAACCTGCTGAGTTTCTCCAACACAACCCTGTGTTTGGAGTATCAGCTTGGACATGTTTGGACATCAGCTGTTCAACAGTAAGCTATGCAGATACTTAGCAGGTCTGGCAAAATCTGTGGAGAGACGGAAAAACAAAATTAACGTTGTGAGTCCAATAGAATCTTATCACACTAGAAATGTTAACCTTGTTTCTCTCTCCACAGAAGCTGCCAGACCTGTTGAGTTTCTCCCATACTTTCTGGTTCCATTTCAGTGGTTCACTGCAGTTGTATGATGACTGTGTCTTGTTACTTCCTGCTGGCTGTTGGCATCCCACTGAAATTAATTGCCTGCTGTTGCCCTGTGGTGCTAAATAAAATTAAAATGATTCAGGGGGTGCAAACTGTAAATTTTCAATCTGTAACTATGTGGGATTAATGTTATTCTGTTGTGACTTAGGGCTTAGGGAATGCAAAAGGCATTTTTTTTTGTCAGGGACAGAGAGAGCCAGACAATAATTTGTGACTGAGTTACAAGAATGACCTCCTAAAATAGACAGAGGTAACTGTTCCAACATATAAATAGAAAATGGTTTCAAAAATGAATTACAATGGAGCAACAGTTCTGCCTGTAGGCACCCACCTCTAACTGAACTCGTTAAATACAAAATATATCATGCTGTCTGAAATAACCCCACGGAAGTTGGTATCCCATCATCAAGTCACCCTTTATTTACATGTGCATCGTATGTGACACTGACCCAGCTAGCACAGAGTCAGCTCCTAGAGTGAGCAGAGCCCCAACACTCCTGTTTATATCTGTCAGCCAGGGCTTCCTGATTAGACATGGTTAACAGCCCCAGTCAGGGAACTCATATTCAATGAGGTTCACATGGCTGACCACAGTCCAATTGCTACACTGACAGGTCCTAGATCAAATATCTCATGTGATTTTTGTACGGTATAAACTGTTCAATTGCAATTCATGCAAAATCTGATCATTGAAATTGTGCCTGTTTTGCTGATTTAATCAGGCTCTTTTTGATTGTCCAAAGGTTTAAGATTCTCACCGAGTTATTGGATTTATATATATCTCTCTGGATTCCTCTTGCTCCTTGTTGCAGCATGATATCCAGCAATCACACAGTTCTCTAGAACAAAAATAAGGAGGGCTAAAATATATGACAGTGCTCCTGCTCTTTCTTTCAGGCAGCCTCATTACATGTACGATTGTGGAAAATAGGTTTTCGGTGATATATCTGCGCAGAGAATGAAATATTAAACGGTACGGGACGTGCGGAGAACGCTGACAGGGATCTGTATTGTGCAATTCGTTGCACATTATTCTCAAATTATAGCAAACAGGAGAGCTCTGAGGGAAAGGGATAAAATGAGAGAAAGTCAGAGAGAGGAAGGAACAGATAAACATAAGTGTGCCTCACTCACCTCTGATGCCCATCTCTTTCAATGCTAACCCAATTCTCACACAAATCAGAATATACCAGCATCCCACAAGTAAAAGGCCATTGAGCGCCACTGAAGTGCTGGCAGCCCAGAGCTGCCATAGAGTCATATCGCACAGAAACGAGCCCTTCAGCTCAAACCATCCATGCCAACCAGGTTTCCTCAACTGAACTAGTCCCACTTACCTGTGTTTGGCCCATATGCTCTAAACCTTTCCAATTCATGTACTTGTCCAAATGTCTTTTAAATATTGTAATATTACCTGTCTCTATGGCTTCCTCTGGCCTCATTCCATACTCACGCCACCCTCTGCATGAAAAAGTTACCCTTTAGGTCCCTTTTAAATCTTTCCCCTTTCACCTTAAACCTATGCCCTCTCGTTTTGGACTCCCCCACCCTGGGGGAAAAAAACCTGGGCTATTCATCTTATTCATGCCCCTCATGATCTTATAAAACTCTATAAGGTCACTCCTCAGCCTTCTACATTCCAGGGAAAAGAAGTTGCAGCCTACCCAGCCTCTCCTTATAACTCAAACACTCCAGTCTCAGTAACATCTTTGTAAATCTTTTTGTACCCTTTCCAGTTTAATAACCCTGTGCCTTTGTAGTCATTTAGAATTACAGAATCTTTACAGTGTAGAAAGAGGCCATTCATCCCATCAGGTCTACACCAACCCACCGAACAGCATCGCACCCAGAACCAGGCCCCCACCTTATCCCCATAATGCTGTTTATACCATGGTTAATCCATCCAGCCTGCACATCCCTGGATGCTATGAGCAATTTAACAATTTAGCCAATCCATGTAAACTGCACATCTGTGAACTGTAGGAGGAAACTGAATCACCTGGAGGAAACCCACACAGACACGAGGAGAATGTGCAAGCTTCA